GTGCTATGTTATATCTCTAGAGACCATTGTTTTGTCTTTTGATTCCGCACTTCGGATCCGTTATCGGGTCATCTTTCGGTTCATCACTGAAGTACCGGGTTGAAAAACTTGGGCCATCACAGGTGGTATCAGAGCGTCCGGGTTCGAATACCTTGGATGACGGGTTTCGGGTTCATATCATGCTCATGTTGTTTTGCTTTGATATGTCATTTGTATCTTGATAACATGCCTTGTTTGATAACATGTCTTGTATGATAACATGTTAATATGCTTACATGTTGTGAGACGCCTATTATTATTGTTACACATGCTTTCGGTGTATATGTGCTTCCTGATAACATGGTTTAGGTTAGTATCATGTCTTGGTGTGACATCATGTTTGTATGCTTGTGTTAGCATGACTGTATGCGATGTATATCGGCATACCTTACGTTTTATTCACGTTAATTATCGTACCATTTACTTACATGCTTCTTGATAACATGTTTTGAGTTGACAACATATCTGTTTGCTTATGTGGCAACTTGTTTGGAAGCATACTTTAACTGTCTTAGTATATGATATATGCTTGTTTACCTTAGCACATGGTACCTGTTTGTCATCTTAACATGTGTTATATGTTTGTCTACCTAAGTATATTGTATACACTTGTTCATCTTGACATGATTATATGCAGCATATCATCATACTTTACGTCCTTCTCCTGTATACTTTGATATGTTTTATGTGATCTTACTACTTATGTGAGTAGATAGTCTGTTGCTATGTTGTATGCCAGCTTTCTCCTTTTATGTCTGGTTTTGGCATTGTATCTTAGGATCTGTCGTATCCCTTGGATGCATTCTTGTTTCACGGGTTTCTTCTTTAGATAGGAGAAATTCATTCTGTAAGGACCTATGTCGGGAACCTTCTTGTCTGCTCTGTCGATTGATGCGAGTAAGGCTCATGTGAGCGTAGAGGACTACGATTCACTTTTTTTTTTCCTTATCTGGTGGATTGAGACGTGGGCCAGGGAGGCACCGTTTCATTTCTTTTTCCTTCGTGCCTTCTAGATCTAAGGCCTTAAGCATAATGGTGCCAGTGTCATTATTGTCAGAGTTTTGGGATTAGCAACCCCAACTCTCGCAGATGCCTGGTTTCCATAGTGCCTTTGGTAATGACCATTTTCGACATTGATGTCATTTGTATCGAAAAGTTCCCTTCTGGAGCATGTTACGAACTAGTGCCTTATACTGTCATGCTACCTTATTGACGAGTAAGTGTGGGCGAGTTTTGGTCACTGCTCGTACTGCCTTGTCACTCTCTTCTTCTATCATGTTTCAACGTTTTGTTGTCTTTGGATTCTGTCGGTAGTTGACGTTGAGTTAACGTGCCGATTCGTATGAGGTGTTGTCTCAGTTTATGGTTTCGCATTCCTTCAGTTGATCTTTAGACTTCAGGATTTGTCCTTCAGTGCGTTGTGAGTTGTCTTTTGATTTGACATTTTGTTCGGTCATTATTCTGTTCTCTCTAGTATGTTCCTAATTTCGGGGATGAAATTCCTTTAAGAAGGGTAGGTTGTAACGACCCGGTCATTTGCCTTCCTTTCCTTTTTCCTGAAATTTTACGAATGAATTTTTTTTTGTTTAATTTTCTATTCTGAGCTCTGTTTCATGTCGTTTAGTGTCATCTCGAGTGCTCAGAATTGGTTTCTGAGACTCTTTCATGTGAATTGAAAACTTCCTTTGAGTACCGAGTCATTTTCGCGTTTTTCGTTTTCGGACACTATACGCTATTTCATCTTTTCCCTATTATGTCATTTTCCCTATTTCGTTTCTTCCCTATTATGTCATTTTCCCTATTTCGTCTTATCTCCGTTTGTCAGTTTTTGGCACAACCTCACTTCTCATGCTCGGAGTTAGTTGTTAACTTCACGTGCCTTCATCTTGAGTGGTTTCCTCGAAATACGTATCTTTACTTTTGCAAGAAAGTACTCTGGTTGCTCCTGGTGTCCACAGGGGCATAGATGCACAATTCTTCAGAATCTTTTTCATTTCTTGGGGTGTTTTTTGTAAATATCTTTTGAAGATATTTTATTTTAAGGGCATCTAAGAAAATATCTTTTGGAAGATATTTTCATTATGGGATAATTTCGCAGTTAACCATTTTTGTAGGGGCCATTGTGCAATTAACGAAAGTTATTGCAAAAATGTCTCGTTTGGAGCCTAGATCCTCATACGGGATTCATTTTCACATTTCGTCTAGTCATAGACTCTTAGAATTTCCTTCTGGTCGTTTTCCCCAGTTTTAGGGATTTCTGGCCCTAGTTGCCGTCGAACTTGTTCGGGGCATAACTTTCTGTTTGGGACTCAGTTTTTGATGCTGTTTCTTTCGTTATTCATATTTTCTCATTTTAAATCTTTTTTGTTCACAGAGTTTTGCCGTTTGAGAGCGTTTTCTCAAAATCCACTTTTCCGGACCCGGCTGGGCCCTTTCGGGGCACTTTTTGAGACTTACTATAAATATGGGACTTAAGAACAAAAAAATCAGATTTCTTCTTCTTCTTCCTCTCCCATGGCCGGCCAAGCTCCCTCCCATGGCTGCCACTTTCTCTCTCCTCCTTTGATCCACTTTTCTTTGATGAAAAGTCTTCGGCCTTAACATTTGTTGTTCGTCTCGTCGTGCTCTACCATTACCCCTTATTAAAAACCATTTTTGACCAAATTTTGAGTTCAGGATTGAGGTCAAGTTTAGATTTTCATGGGGCTTCTTGGGGATTCATATAGATCGTGTTGTCCCCGACAAAACTTAGGAGTTTTGTCGGATTCGGAGCCGTTTCAATTCGGTGGGGATTTGGGACTTTCATCTCAAATTGAGGTAGGAGGTATTATAGGTTTAATTCTTGTTATATAACATGCTATTGATGCTTATACAACTTGATTGCATGCTTAAATATGAAATCTAGAGATTTTATTATTTAATTTTCTTGTATTGGATTTGATTTTCCCAGTTGCTTATGACTTGTTTTAAACATGTAGCATGGTAATATAATGCTCTATAATATGGTCATTGACATATATTTGAGGGAATTTGAACAAGTATTAAAGATTTTATTTAATATTTATCTTGAATAAAATATTAAATCATATGGCCTTAACTAGCTTAAAATCAATATGCATTAGTATATTAAATTAGGCCTTAGCATGCTCTCTAACGTAGTTGAATTTGAAAGTAATTGGAGGTGTTTTGAAAATTAGTAATTATTAATTAATTTACCCCGAGTGCACTATTCACTCTATTTGAATTCCGACTTGATATTCTTGATTTACATGCCATATAGCTTCACATATATTTGATTTAGAATATTCGGTTAGGTTTTGAAACCTTTTATTTAATTAAATTCCATGTTTAAGATTTAATCCTCATGGTGATATACAACTTGGAATTGTATTGTGGCATGCTAAAAAATTATGCTTAGGTATAGTTGTTCACATATATTAAATTGGGATTAATTGCATGAGAATTACAACTTTTAATTTATATTTAACTTTAGTGAAAGTTTATTTCACACGGTCTTAAATTGAATGAAATAAACTTGTAATGTGATATTATATTAGTTCTTGGCATGCTTTCCAACATAGGTTAATTTGAGAGCATTTGATTAAATTTGAAAATCAAGAGATTTTAATTAAAAGAATGAATTAAAATCTATTTTGTGGTCCCATTAGCTTAATTAAGGTTTTAACTTGATATTTGTATTGACAATGACTTGTTTACTAGTATATATTAATTTGGGACTATTTGAAGTTTTTTTAAAACCTTTGGATTTAAATTAGCATGATTTAATTAAAGTTCTACCGTGTTGTTGTATTTAAACTCATGAGCTTATGTTTTCAATATTGAATATATTGTTATTTTGCGTAATGATTTGGACACTTCATATTTAACATCATTCATTCATAGCGTGTAACGAATTGCACACTGAAGATTCAACATTCATCATATCATATTAGTTATTGATTTAGAGCATGTATTGTATAGGTTTCCAAAATTGGTTGTGCTTGGTAGATAATTGATTATCTTGCATATTCCTGTTGATATATGCGTTGTTGCACAACTTGTTGATTTTGGAAACTTGAGGATGTCGTTGTTTGACTATGGCTAGGACGTGGTTCTAGTACGGGAGATAGTCCCTCTATATAGTCTAGTGCGCACATAGGGAGGTTACCCATGGGCTAGTAACCCTAAAGTAACTATGTTGTCAGTCTGATCCGGTGTGACGTCCGAGTATCCACTTTCTTTGACTTCGCATTTCATTTTTAAGTTGATAACTAGATGATGTTGTAACTTATTGTTCCTTATTTGTCGTTCCATTTTAAGTTACATGATGTTAACTTTGCGAAATTGTGTTTTATGCGTTGTATTGGAAGTTCCAATGTTGGTTAAATTGCATCGATATTGAAAATTGTGTTTTGACGTTCTAACAAAGCTTATGATTGATCCTATTGATTCATTTAGAACTTAGACGTTAGGTGGCATGAACCACCACTGTTATTTTATGCTTTAGATTCTAAGTTGATGGCTTTGAGAACTTATACCTTGTTACATTGTATAACATGCTCTTTTGTTGTTGAATTGAATGGATAATATGATTCTTGTTAACTTGTATTCAAATATGCTTTTGTCATGTTATATGGATTACTCTAGATATAGTTCAATTGTATTGAAAGTGCAATTCATGTTAATCTATGCTTAAGCATTCTTCTTGTCGTGTTCTTTAGATTATCCCAACCATGATTCGTTTTATACACGTATGTATATCATGATTCTTGTTGCTTAGACTCTAAGGTAGCTTAGGATGCACCCCGAGTCTCACTTGGACACAGACGTTAGGTGGCATGAACCCCTTTAACATGTTTCACCTTAAGGTGATAAATTTGTAAAATGTTAGATCGATGCATGCTCATCTCCTACGAGTAGCTTTATGTTACTCACCCTTACAATACTGGGGCATATTTCAGGTACAAGAATCAAAGTTGAGGTCTTCATTATGCTTGGATGGTTTGTGGACTTGGAGACTTCCATTTTTGTGAAGGTTGGCTCAGAATGCCTATTGTAGTCTTATGTGTCAAAATATGTATATTTGATTCCATGTATGTAATTTGTACTTAAGTACACTTCTATCAATATATTTGATATGTATGAGATGAGGCCGGAGGCCAATGACATGTATATTGTATTCTATGCAACTTTTGAACTTCATGAAATGTTATGAAAACTTTGAAAAATCGCAAGTCATTGTTTCACCATGGTTGTATCGGGTGTGAGAATTCCATTCTCATTCTTTCATAGGGTCTCATTAATCTTGTATGAAGTGTGGCCAAGGGCCAAACGGTCAATTGACTCCATTTTGTATTTTTGGATTCTATGTTTTCCATTCCAAGTCCATTTTTGCCTTTTTGCCCGTTGGGTGGTCGAATTTTGCATCGGCTATATTTTTAAGCCATGGACCATTGTAACACATCTAAATAGGTAGGTTACGTTTACGTGCATGGTCGTTTCCGGACAAAACTTCATCGTTTGTGTTTTGAGCCTTCTACGGACTCATTTTGCACTTTTGTTGCAAATTCTGATCTAGGGGCATTCGAGACTTTTCAATTTAGTTTTATTTCCTTTTTTCAACATGGTTGAATAGAAAATATGATTTTAGGTGGGGTTTCTTTTTTGTTTTTTCCCAGAAAATGTCGTCTTGGTATCGGAAATCGCATACGAAGTTCAGCTCTCAGTTTTTAAATTTAGCAGCTTTTTGGACCCTCTGGACCAGTTTTCTTGGGAGGGGATTTTGGGCATTTCATAGCGAGTTTTGTTCAATTTTTCTCACATGTCATGTAGAAAACTCGATTTTGAGGGGGGTTTCTTCTTTGAGTTTTTTCAGAAAATGTCATCTAGGCCCTCAAATTTTCATTTTTTTCGAAAAAACCCCTGCTGCCAGGTTTTTGGGTCGCACCCTTACTACCCCTTCACATCTAAACGTTTAGATGGGCCTTCGTAACCGGTTAGATGAGTGTGGGCAGCGTTTTTGTCACTGTTTTTGGCCTCCTAACCGGTTAGATGTTCATGGGTTGCCTCTTTTGGACCATTTTGTCCCTTCTTCTTCCGTTAGCCATATCTTCTTCATCCGGTCTCCGAATCAAGCTATTTTTGAGTCTAAGTTCATTGATTTTTCATTGTCTTTCCAATGGTGTGCTCGGTGGCACCCAATTTTAAGCTGGAAATGACAATTTTTCCCCTAGGTTCAATCTTGTTCGTTTTTGAAACGCTGCTTCCCCATTTGATTCCTTTGGGTTTCGTGACCTCATTGAGGGTCATAATGGTGTCTTAGAGCTATATTGTATCTCTAGAAACCGTTGTTTTATCTTTTGCTTCCGCATTTCGGATGCGTTATCGGGTCATCTTTCGGTTCATCACTAACGCATCGGGTTGAAAAACTTGGTCCGTCACACAACATATATACATATATATACACATATAAACACAGTGCTTCAAGCTTCATCAATGGCAAATTTCATCATTAAAACATCATGGATTCAACATTTAAAATATGTATTTAACAACTTGAAGCTTGAAATCAAAGATGGAGCTCGGATCTTACCCAAAATCGAGGAGAGAAGATGACATGCGAAGGAGGTGATGGAATCCGAGAGAAGAAAGAAAAGAGAGGGAGTCGAAGCTCACTGGATCTCGCCGGAGGTTCGCCGGAGATGGAGATGAAAATGGGTGCACAATGGCGAAGGGAATGAGGGACTGAGGGTTTGCTAATGAATCGATCTTGAGACCCTCGGGTTCTATTTTTTTTAAAAACTTTTCCCGTCCAGTTCGATTGATCGAACTGAGATTTCAGATCGATCAAACTGTGATGATCTCTCTTTAAAGTATTTTTGGAATTTTTCAAATTTTTGAAAAATTAAAAACTAAAATTAAAAATTAAAATTAAAAAATAGAAAATATTTTTGGATTTTTGAAAAATAAGAATAAGAATAAAATAAAATAAAATCTTTTTGGACTTTTGAAATAAATAAAGTAAAATCTCTCTCTCTTTTTTTTTTTTTTTTTTGGGAATAAACAAAGTAAATAAAAGAAAATCTTTTTGGTATTTTTGGAAAATAAAATAAAATAAAAATATTTTTGAATTTTTAAAAATTAAAAAGTTAACCAAAGTCAAAGATGGTGAGATGGAGAACTGAGATCGATCTGAACAAAATGTTCGATCGATCAGACAGAGAGCAAAAATATGCAGGTTTTTGGTTCAAAATTTTTTCTAAGTATTGGGACTCAAGATCGATCCAATGATGAAGTTGGATCGATTGAAGAACTTCAGATCGATCTTAAAATGTTTTCGATCGATGAGACAGATAGCTGAAATATGCAGGTTGATGCAGGCTCAAAAATTTTCTAAGTGTTGGAGCTCAAGATCGATCGAACTTTAAAGTTGGATCGATCTAAGGTCTTCTGATCGATCTTAGAACAAGTTCGAACGATGGGACAAAGAGGTGATTTGGATGCAGGTCGAAAATTTTTCCAAATGTTGGATGTAGGTAAAAGTTCGATTGATCGAACTCTCATTTGAGATCGATCAAACTTATGCAAAATGCTCAACTTCAACATGAAAGTGCATGCAATCATAATCACAGTCCCTAGCCATGTGTATGAACCAAAAATAAGTATCTAAACTTCGCAAGAAATGAAATTAAAGATAAAAATGGGGGAGGAATATGGTTTTGACACCCTACGAATACTTTTGCTAGTTTTTAATGTCTCTAGCAAGACATTGGGCTCTTTTAGCCTAGATCAAAGATCTTGCAATGCATCCCCTCCTTGTTGGGGTGATAGATGCTTTGAACTCTACCCAACAAATGGTTCTTTGAAGAACTTGTTGGATTTAGCTCGAAAGAAACTTTTGATCCCTTGTCAATGCAATCACAATCTTTGGGCTTCCATGCCCTTTCAAAGCAAGAATTTGAAACAATACTTTGAGAATGCAAGGTTGAAGGTGATCCCTTTGAAGTTTTGGTCTTACACAAAAGCTCACTTCCTTGACATTGAAGATTATAGCATTTATCTACAACATTAACTTCTCTTTCATATTTGTCAAATAAGTTGGGTGTGGGATTGAAGATATTCAACTTCACCTTCATATGGCCAAATGAGATCTTCATTATCCTCGTCCTACAATTGATGTTGGCATTAGCGATTGCCAAGAAAGGACGGCCAAGGATAACGGGAATTTGGCTTTTAGGATTGGGGATCGGTTCCGTATCAATGACAACGAAATCAACGGGGAAGAAAAATTTGTCAATCTTTATCAAAACATCCTCAATGATACCCCTAGGCTTCTTAATGGATTGGTCGGCAAGTTGTAAAACTACCGACGTCGGTTTCAATTCACCTAGGCCCAATTTGACATAAATCGAGTATGGAAGAAGGTTAACACTTGCTCCTAAGTCAAGAAGCGCCCGATTAATGATATGATCACTAATAATGCATGATGTGGTAGGTGAACCGAGGTCCTTAAACTTTGGAAGAGTGTTATGTTGCAAAATTGAGCTCACTTGCTCGGTTAAAACCACTTTTCTTGGTGCTTGGCTCTTGTTCTTCCGCTTTTGGGTGCAAAGATCTTTTAAGAATTTGGCATAAGCCGGAATTTGCTTGATTGCATCCAAAAGTGGAAGATTGACTTTCACTTGCCTAAACATTTCTATGATTTCATTGGTTTTTACCTTTTGCTTGTCTTTTGAAATGGATCCTTTTAAGACATCTGGAAATAGAGCTTTTGGCTCAAACACTTTTTCAGCATTTTCTTTTGAAAACTATTCAACATAAGAATTTTTCAAATCACTTTGTTTCAAATCATTTTTCAACAAAACCTTTTCAAATTCATTTTTTGGCAAATCTTTCTTCAAACCATTTTCAAAGTCATTCTTCAAATCACATTTTGAAGCTTTCTCATTCACAAGATCATGTATATACAATGAAGGAGGAATGGTATGTGAAACAAGACGGGTGACAACTTGAGGTTGTACTGGTTCACTCTCTTCATTGAACATGTTAACTTGATTGTCCACAATCCTACCACTCCGTAAGGTAGTTGATAAGCGCCGAATATTGCATATTCAAGCACCCTTAATTGCATTATTTAAGTCCATTGTTTGCCTATTTTATGTAGATTATCCCCATTTGTGTGTTTGTATATATTTTCAGGTCCTTTTGCCAAAAAGGAGTACAAATAAGACTTTGTGGATTTTAGACCATCAAAAGGCACAAGGCTGAATTTCTGGCAGCAGTGGAGTAAGGACTTTGCTCGCCATTTCAACCTAGAAAACTCAAGAACTGGACTTCCCTCATAACATAAAATATTTAGAGCTCTGAATTAGCTTTCCAAATCTTCAAACGGTTTGTCATTCAGAGCTCGGAGCAGAGAGTTATGGCCTTGTTACCAGAGGTGCGCAGAACTGCCTGGCAGCAATGAAATTCTGCCTTGATCTTCATTTTCGACCAACCATCCTTGAGAATTGGATCTCCACCAAAACAGAAAGTATTTAAATCTCTTCATTAGCTTTCCAAATCTTCAAACGGTTTGTCATTCGGAGTTTGGAGCGCAAAGTTATGGCCATTTTACCAAAGTAGGTCCGGGCGGAGCAAACCAAGCATAGGGCATTCTGGCCAATTTTCGAGTGCTCGAGGCCTTATTTCGAGTGCTCGAAATTAGGGCAGAATGCTTCACGAGATCAGCAGTGGAGTCATGACTTTGCTCGCCATTTTGACCCAGAAAGCTTGAGAACTGGACTTCCATCATAGCATGAAAGATTTAGAGCTCTGAATTAGCTTTCTAAATCTTCAAACGGTTTGTCATTCGGAGCTCGGAGCAGAGAGTTATGGCCTTTTTACCAGAGGTGCGTAGAACTGCCTAGCAGCAATGAAATTCTGCCTTGATCTTTATTTTCAACCAACCATCCTTGAGATTTGGATCTCCCCCAAAACATGAAGTTTTTAGAGCTCTGAATCAGCTTTCTAAATCTTCAAACGGTTCATCATT